ATGCCTGTAGCTTCAGTAGGCCAGAAGCAAGAGGCAGAGCTGAAGCCCAAGGTCAAGGGGCTTTCACCCAGCCCCTAGAGCCTGGCACTTTGAACTCGGACTTAAAGCCTCCAAACTGTAAGAGAATAAACTCCTGTTTGTTAAGGCCATCCCATTTGTGGTGTATATTCTTGTCAGGGCAGCACTAGGGAACCAGAACAAATACCATTGGTTCTTGATCCTATGCCACCTCCTGAAATGGATGAGCATCGACCAGTTCTTTTTGGTACAGTGGAACAAAACTGGAGATGTGTGAGGGAGAAGGGAGAAATGTGAGAGAAAATGGGAATTTATGAGAGAAAAAGCAAAGTTAGGGGGCAGAATATAATTATGGGAGAGAGTATTGTGAAAGAGTCCAGGAACAATGGGAGAGAATAGAATTATGGAACAGACAGGGAACTGTGGGAGAAACATGGCATCATGGGAGAGGTAGGGAATTATGGGAAGACAGGGAATTATGGAGGATGTAAGGCATTGCGGGAGGAAACAAGACATTGTAGGAGAAGTGGGAAATTATGGGAAAGAACAGAATTAAAGGGGAGACAGAATTGTGGGAGACAAATGGAAAGCGGAAAGGAACAAAACTGGAGAGGTGTGAGGGAGAATGAAGAATATGAGAGCAAATGGGAATTTGTGAGAGAAAAAGCAAAATTTTGGGGCAGAACATAGTTATAGGAGAGAGAATTGGGGAATAACTAAGGAACAGTGGGACAGAATAGAATTGTGAGAGAGATGGGGAATAGTGGGAAAAAGAAGGCATTGTGGGAGAGGTAGGGAATTGTGGAAAAACAGGGAATTATGGGGGATGTAAGGAATTGTGGGAGAGGCAAGGCATTGTTGGAGGCATAGGGAATTGTGGGAATTATGGGAGAGAAATATGTTAGTAAGTTATGTCATTACCTCTTCTTCCAGATCCCATCACCTCATTATTTGATTCCAGGGGCGCTCTGGGCCCCCGTTCACCTGCCTTGGGAGATGGAGCATTACCTTCAGACAGCAGGCTCAGGGCCTCGTCAGATGTGTGCCCGAAGCCTCGTGCTGTCTTCCTGGTCCCCTGGCTGTCACAGGGCCTGAAGGAGCCCGCGGGGGAGGCACAGGCCTGCTCAGCCTCTGTGGTGGTCAGTGATTCCCACTGTAGCTCCTTCCTGGGAGACAGGAAGTCCAGGCTGCACCCTGTCCAGCCGTAGAAGGCCAGAGACAAGAGAAATCCTTGGGCTGGATTCAGTGTCCCCTGGGTGGGAGGGGCAGAAAAATATAGGGCAGTCAGGGAAGTGTAGCAGGAAGTAGAGTGGTCGGTAGTCCCGGCCACGGGGCTAGAACACTCTTCGAAGAGCCAAGAAAGTTGGGGTGGGGCAAGATACAGACTGGCTGTCAATGCTGTACCTGCAGAGTGTAACCAAGCGTATTCAGTAAATGACCCATTCAGCTAACTTTTAATTAACCAAGTCTTACATTTAACAGGAGGAGAGCTCTGGTGGCATAGTGCCTAAGGCATCTGACTGCTAACCAGAAGGCTGGTGGTTCAAACCTACCAGCCATTCCTCAGAAGGAAGACGGGACAATCTACTTCCGTAGAGACACCGCCTCGGAAACCCAAGGAGGGGTTGCTATGAGTCGAATTTGACTCGAGGGCAGTGAGTTTGGTTTGTTTGCCTATATATCTATATATATATATGCACATACTTAATAGGAGCTCTGGTGGTTCTATGCTTACAAAAAGTTCAGAGGTTCCAACCCACCAGCCACTCCACGGGAGAAAGATGAGGCAACCTTGGAGTTCTACTCTGTCCCATAGAGTCACTATGAGTCAGAATCCACTCGATGGCAGTGAGTTTTGGTTTTTATACTAAATCGCCCTCCTCCTCAAGTAAAAACCATAGCAATGCCTTTTGTAATAGTAAAAGAGAGAAAACAACTATTATCCAAAAATATACCATTGGGTCTATGTTGGTAAAACTGAAAGTAAGTTGTCAACAGCCTATCTTTGCCTATTTCATGACTTCTAGCAATAAGCCAGTTGCCAAATAAGAAACTGTGTCTGTTCTTGTAAGGAGCCTTGGTGGTAAAGTGGTTAAAGCACTTGGCTAATAATGGAAAGGTCGGGGTTCTAACCCACCAGCTGCTCTGCAGAAGAAAGATGTGGTGGCAATCAGCTTCAGTAAAGACTGACAGCCCTGGAAACCCTGTGAGCACTTCTACTCAGTCCTGTATGGTCATTGTGATTCGGAAACAATTCCATGGCAATGGGTTTGGGTTTTGTTTGTTGGTTGCCCTTGCATCAATCCTGACTCATAGTGACCCCGTGTGACAGCAGGTCTGCCCCCATAGCTTTTTCTAGGCTGTAATGTTCTCAGGAAGAAGCTCTGGTGACACAGTGCCTAAGGCATTTGACTGATAACCAGAAGGTTGGCAGTTCAAAACCAGCCTCTCTGCAGAAGGAAGATGGGGCAATCTACTTCTGTAAAGATTTACCCCCTCGGATACCCAGTGAGGGTCGCTATGAGTCAGAATCAACTCGAAGGCAGGGGGCTTGTTTTTGGTAATCTTTGTTGTTGTTGTTGTTGTTATGTGCCGTCGAGTCAGCCCTGACTCATAGCGACCCCTCCTTGGGTTTCCGAGGCAGTAT